AAAGCGGAGCAGAAAGCGCTCCGGCCAAAGAGCTGCTGGCCTTAAACCCCACGCAGCAGTCCGAGTTCAAGAAGAAGGTCCAGGAGGCGAAGAAGAACAAGGCCAGTAAGGTGGGTGAACGCTGCGGCCTACCCGGGTCTCCCGGGCCCCGGTAGGTCCGCCTGGTCTCCCCGGATAGTGGACCTGAGGAGGGCCCCTGTTTCCCTCCTGTAGAAGTACCTGGGGGTGTACTTTTAATAAAAAACTAGACTAGTAACACCGAGGCGGTCTACAAAAAGGGCCAAAGCCGACTCTTATTCCGGAGGGGGCTGAGGTTAGCAGAGTCAGACCCCCCCCTCTGTAACTCTGGCTCAAAATTATTCACATTTATTAATTCTTTTGCACATTATTATTCACTGTATTTTAGGTCTGTTTATATACATATACTTACATATGTATCTATATTTTTGTATATATTTTTGTATATATCAAAATTGTTAACATTTATGAATTCTTTTGCACATTATTATTCACTATATTTTAGATCTGTGTACATACATATAGTAAATATGTATATGTTTATATTTTTGTATATATTTTATTTATATTATATATATATATATTCTTGCATATATCAAAATTGTTAACATTTATAAATTATTTTGCACATAATCATTATGACAATATTTTAGATTTGTATCTATACATATAGTTTTTGTATATATTTATATTTTTTGTGTGGAATGTTTTGTATTTATATATCTGTCTATGTTTGTATATCTGGGTTGTGTTACGATAATAGTCTTCCTGGTTGTGTGTCCAGGGCCTCCGTCTGACCCCCGGCGTCCTCTATGTGGGCCACCTGCCTCTGGGGCTGTTTGAGCCTCAGCTCAAAGCCTACTTTGAGCAGTTTGGGAAGGTCCTGAGGCTCCGGCTCTCCAGGAGCAAGAAGGTATGACATCACACAATCCCCCCCCCCCCGGCTCGGACTGAAAATGGCCCCAGCTCCAGCCGTGGGCTGAGGCCAGATAACTGAGCCTACAGTATCCTGGTGCGTTAAGCTTATGGTCTGCCCCTCTGCCGGCAGACTGATAAAACCCACGTACCCACAGAGCCCCCACAGTTCCCCCCCCCCCCCGCTGTGTCCACATGTTGCCTCCTCTCTGTTGCAGACCGGGGGAAGCAAAGGCTACGCGTTTGTGGAGTTTGAGTGTGATGAGGTGGCCAGGATCGTAGCAGAGACCATGAACAACTACCTGATGGGGGAGAGACTCATCCAGTGTGAGTACCAGACAGAAACGGAGCTCCCTATTGGTCCACCCAGGCATGTCATACTTCGTCGCGTAGGTCTGTTTCTCAGCTTTCAGCCAATGTGACCTCTGACCTGCTCTCTCGTTACTGGAACGGTTTAGGGGAACAGGACCCAAAACCTCTCCCATAGAGAAGGAATGGCATTTCTGGCTGCGCCTCCAAAATGGACCGTTTGGTCACATTGTCTGATCTCTCGCATCAACACCCCATTTTCCTGACCCAGGCTTGTCAAATCTTGTTGTGTAGGTCTGTTTCTCAGCTTTCAGCCAATGTGACCCCCATGTGGACCATACCATCGGTATTTGGTCGGCGGGCCTCAGAGCTCAGCCAGGTCCCTCCAGCTCTGTTTCTCCTTCAGGCCCTCTCATAGGCCCGAGCCCACATTATAAAGGGCCCAAATGCCAGTCCTGTGACCTCTCCAGCGGCTCCCAGGCTGCTTTTGAGGACCCCAGAAAGCCAGCCCAGGTCCCTGGACCGGGCAGTAGGTGGCCCCACTTCAAAATGTCTTCTTCTTCTAAATGTTCTAGTTTTTAAAAAGCGCCTTTCATGCCACTCATGGACACTGTCGTCATAAAAACAACATGGAAACATACAATAAACACATTCAAAACATCAGGAATGAATAAATAAAGGTGCAAATGAATGAAACTGTGCAGAATGAGGGGACTGTTGGAGTTGGGGAGACTGAGAGCTCTGCTCCTCTGTTCACAGGTCACACGGTCCCTCCAGAGAAGGTGCACGAGAAGCTGTTTGTGGGCTCCCAGAGGACGTTCAAAAAGCCGGCGTACCCGGCTGTGGGCCGCTACAACAAGCGGCGCTCAGCCGAGCAGGTGGCCAAGATGACCCAGAAGCTGCTCCGCAAAGAGTCCAAGCTGCGCAAGAGGCTGGCGGCCCACGGCATCGAGTACGACTTCCCTGGATTTGTGAGTGATTCGGGGGTGTTGGGAAATGATTTTCGTTACCCACTCCAGATAAACAAACAACATATATACACACACACACACCATTCCACATAAGATATATAGATATAAACATATGTAACTTGCCTATTTTCTGAACTATAAGCCTTTTTTTTTTTTTTTTCATAGTTCATACTCTGGGGCGACTTGTGTGTGAAATTCTTAACAGATTATTAGATAATTTCACATGTTGTTTTCACTCTAAACCACCAGAGGGTGCTCTAGGCCTGTGTTTATAATTAGTGGTAACTTATAAAAACAGCTGAGAAGGGCTCAACAAAAATGGCACCGAAAAGAAAACCAGATTCTGCAGATTACAAGATGCAAGTAGTAAAAAATGCAGCTGGAAACAGGAATCCAGAAACTTGTGAAGGGCAAAAAGCGGAGGTTATTCTGACTGAAATGAGGAAAACAAAAAGCTAAAAGCCAGGTGGCCACAGCTTGAGGAACGGGGTCTTGGAACAATGTTTTTCTGCTAGAGATCCAATAATTTTCCTCACCAAAAATGCGACTATGTGTTTTCCTTCTTTATTATGCGTTTTATGGCTGGTGAGATTTGTGCTCTGGAGCGACTTATAATCCAAAAAATACAGAATAACGTGTGTGTGTATATATGTATATATATATATATAGAGAGAGAGAGAGAGAGATCTAAAATATAGTGATATGAATACATTTGAATAATGACCCGGCCCCCCCTCTCTGTGCCTCCGTCTGTTTCCAGGCTGCCCAGGTGCCCCCAAAGAAGTCCTCTGCCTCCATGAACGAGTCCTCCTGCAGTGATGTGAGTTTTATTTGTTCTGGCACCGGCTGAAAATGTGGATATAGATAGACTAACATGCTTTATTGATCCCAAGCTGGGAAATTGCATTGTAACAGCAGGTTTACACACAATGAGGTAAAAAGTCCAAATGATATCCAGACGTATTTACAACATAAACACAGTAAATCTTAAGGTTAAGTGAGCAAATTATGTATTTAATAAAAAACTTGGAAACAAAATATACTACCAACATGTATAATCAACAGGAATTAGCATACAGCAACCTAAAACTGATTCTATAGCTAGTTAGCGGCTAACTCTGGATCCAGTGCTACATGTGTGGTGCGTTCAAGAACCTCTGTAAACGTAGGAATTGGCATTAGCTGGGATCATCTTTTGTACGTCGCTCATTGTTCCCTTTGTCTGGCTCTAGGACGCCACCCCAGTCTGCACGCCGTCTTTCCTGGAGAGGAGGAAGTCCACGGTGGGGGACGAAGACGCGGATGAGGAGATAGTCATTAAGATGCCAGCGGTGGAGGTGGATGAAAAGGAGGAGGAGGATGAAGAGGAGGAGGGTTCCTCAGACAGTGAGGAAGCAGAGGAGCTGTGAAGCTCCTGAGCCTGGAGCTGAGGACTGTCAGAGCACAGATACAAAGCTCAGGACCGTGTACATACTGTCATCAGTAGTGAGAGAGGACGGGCACAACTCTGAATGTGGCCTGAAACTGCCTGCCTGCAGCCTCTGGAGCTGCTCCTCTGCTGGCTCTAGAAGGCGGATGCTCCTCAAACAGCCACCACTCTGAAGGCATCTTTCTGGGAAAACATCCAGAAACTGCCCCTCTCTTCCAAAAAGGCCTGATTCAAGTCCATCTCCTCATACTGGTGAACCCCAATGAGAATAAACCTGTTTTAATGGTGTTCATTTCACTGGTATTATTTCCTCCGCAGAGTGGAGATAATGGATTATTCTTCATAATCATATCTTTGATGGAGCACATTTCCCCCTCAAGCTAAACAAACCATCTCTGAAATCTGGTTTAGGTGTTTATAAGAGAATGAGAATGGGGGAAGCACTGGTTCTGGTAGTTATTGCTTAAAAAAAAACAGCTTTTCAGAGGTTTCTGGACAGATGCTGTGGCTTTCATTTATTAGTCTTCATACATTTATGTCCCGTATTAAAGCTGCTATGATTGTCATGATTAGTTGAAAATGCTTTTTAATGGCTGGGTTACATAAATTGGGTTCTTTTTTTATGCAATAAAAGTTCCTGACAGGTTCAGTTTTATGGATATAACATTTTCCATCTGGTGGACTGAAAGTGACTAAATGAATTATTTCAATAATGTCAATAATTATGATATATTATGATTTAACAATTAAATTATGGTGATCTACATAAATTTCTATTCTAATTTCCAATTACATTTGTGCGCATTTGTTTTAAAAAGCACAAATATTTACCTCATCATATGCTTTCATATAAGCAATTCCATTTTCTAAAGCCTGTAATAAGAAATACTTTAATAATCCCAGAGGGAAATAATTTTTCTTACACACTCCAGATACAACATATATGTATATATACAACATTCCACACAAAAATCTAAATATATACATTTGTAACTATGTAAATAGGCTGTACAGATCTAAAATATAAAGATAGTGTGTAAAAGAACGAATAAATGCGTCATCTTGGGGGGGGGGGGGGGATTTAGCTTGTCAAAAGTCTGCATTTGTTCAGAATAAGTGGCGGAGCCTCCCCAGTAGGTGTCAGCAGAGACCGGCTTCCACGCGCACCCGCACGCGGGAGGGTGGGTTTTTCTTTTTCCCCAGCTTTGCCATGCGACAGTTTTCCAAGTGCCAACATCATCTCTGGACCCAGTGCGCATGCGCGCGACGATCCCATTCTTGTCCTGCAGGCAGCATTCCGGGTGGAGAATGAGAGGGCTGAGGCCGTGATTTGGACATTTCCACGCACGAACAGCGACCAGCCCGTGGGCTGTCAGCGGGACACGGTGAGTGGCGACACGGGTGGGGTGGCCATGGCTCCCCCCCCTCCTGTCCCGGTTTTCCTCTTTGTGCTGCCTGGATGTGGATAGGAGGCTCCGCTAGGCGCTAGCGCTAGCTCCGGTTGCCCCCCCCCCCCCCCCCCCCTCCCGGGGGGGGGGGGGGGGGGGGGACGTCTGGGCCACCAGCACGCGGACAGGGGGGCCAGGGCGTGCTCACACAGCGAGGGCGGCGGCCTCCGGGAGGCTGGGGCCCCCGGGGCCCCCGCCGGGATCCGGGTTAGCGGCAGCTCAGCGGGCAGCACAAAAGCAGGGCTGTGCGCGTGCGCGCGCCGTGGGCCGCTAGCACAGCCCAGTACATAAGGATGGGAGACATGGCCCAGCAGAAAGGGCTGAAAAAGGCTGGACTGCGGAGCCCCCGGAGCTGCCTGTCCGCCCCCACCGGAGCAGGCCGGGCCGCCGCCGGCCAAAGGCCGCTCATCTACCGGAGAGGATCCAGTTCAGTTCAGCCGGAGCTCTGGAGCTCCAGGTCCCCAAAACAGCAGCCATCTGACAGCTATCCCACCAGAGCACAGAAGAGTTATTCACAGAAGAACTACAGCTCCACCAAGAGCAGCACTAGGAGACACAGGGAGGAAACAACTGCCTTTAGGGGGAACAAACCGGGGGGGGGCAATAAAGAGAGAGAGAGTGAGGGCAAGAGAGAGAGAAGGAGAGAGAGAGGACAAAAAGAGAGAGAGTGAGGGGGCATGAGAGAGAGGGCATAAGAGAGGGACAGGGTAAAATAGGGCAAAAGAAAGAGGGCAAGAAAGAGAGAGAGGTGGCAAGAGAGAGGGAGATAGGGCAAGAAAGAGAGAGACGGAGGGGGAGAGAGAGGGCAAGAGAGAGAGGGCAAGAGAGAGAGAGTTAGAGAGGAGACTCCCAACCACAGCTCCATGAACTCCTGCAGGAGGTGAGGGAGGAGAAGCACAGGACTACTGGAAAGGGAGGAGGTCCAGTCAGTGACATCATCAGTCAGTGACATCACTAATGGTCCTCCCTCTGGTTTCTGCCTGCCCTGTCCTCCCCGTTGCCCCCCCAGGCTTCCGGGGGACGGACTCTGGGAGCAGCATGGAGCTGTGAGCCGGCCCCGCCCAGTCGCCTCCATCAGCTGCCACCGGAGGAGAAGGGGGGGGACCAACTGGGAGGGAGCGGTGCGCCTCCTCCTCCCCCAGCTGCTGCACACCCCCACCCACATAGCCCTGCTCCGCCCCCCAGCCAGTGGACCGGCTCCAGGAGATGGAGCCCAGCATGGACAGCTGCCTGGCCCAGGTCCTGCAGAAGGACGTGGGCCGGAGGCTGCAGGTGGGCCAGGAGGTCATCGACTACGTCCTGGACCGGGACAAGTCCCCGGACCTGGAGCAGGACCAGACCGCGCTGGACAAGATGGTGGACGCCATCGCCAGCTCCTGGGTCAACTCCAGTAACTTCAAGGTGAGTTAGGAGTGGGTGG